ATAAATGCTATACATTCCAGTCCTGCTGCTAAAAAAATCTCTCCTGAAGACATGTCAGGTTTAGAGCCAGTCATTTTCCTTGCCAAAGGAGCTCACATTATGCTAACAATGAATTTACGGCCAGATAAAAGCCAAGGTTTAACCCTTTCAAATGCATGGATAGACATTGGGAAAACTGAAAAAAACTGCTGGAATTTCATATGTGGCAATAAGCCGAGTAAAAACACTTTCCTCATGTGTTATCAAACCAATGACTTTTGAAAGGCTTACTAGCCTCAAAAAATCCAGACATTTGAAATTTAGAGACGAAGAGGAGAAGCGACTAGATGAACTTTCAAAACAAACTTATCATAAAAGAATCTGATAGCAAAATCAATCTGGTATTAATTTTCTGCAAACACTGTATCAACTGTTTTAATTGTTCCTGGTAAACAACAGACAGTAAACTAAATGTGTCAATAAAAATAAATGACAAAGCTCTAAGCAATAACCTGAATCTTTTCTTTTATCAGGAAAAGACCACCAACAACCAGATGAATAACAACACACAGTTGAAGTGTAAGTATGCTCAAATTAATACAACACTAGCTGTAGTCAAAGGTTCTTCCTTTTAATGCCCACAGTTAAATGGTTCTGGCTCGTAAGTTTGTGCAAATATCCAAAATTGTAACCACTCAAATGAAACTCTTTAGGAGTTCTTACAGATGCCACTAATAAGTTGTTTGTGTTTTTTTTTTGCGGGAGGAATATCTTCATTATGGCATTATTTCAGCTCTTTCAGTGCTTCAAGGTTCACCTGGTCCTGTAATGGTTGCTTCCCCTATTGTAGACTACATCGTGTATGGCAAACTAGATTCAGTCTCAGCGTCAGTCATTGACCTACCCAGTGGAAAAGTGAAGACAACATTAGAGGAGCTTGAAGCAATCGGTGATCGTGAGAGATTTAAGCAAGAAGCATCCTTTAACACACCACTAAGATTCAGAGCAGGATACACAAAGCCCATTGTAACTTTGGAAGACAAAGATGAATTTACCAGGTGCAGCTGCTTACACCATCTCATTTTATGTACACAGACTGAAATTGACCAGTTTGTCAAAGGGTTGGCAACAAATGGAGTCTTGGATGTGATCAGAAACAGTCCTAACCAATCCCGAAAGCTCTTACAATATTATGAACATGAGAAGCTGACTGCTGAGATTGTTGATAATCAGTTTCAGTGTGTCTTTAGTGTGGAAGGAAGTAACAAACATGCTAAGGAGGAAGCTATAGCCTTTGACTTTACAATTTACCTTGAGGATGTTAAAGAAGGTTTGATTACCACCACAGTCCTAGATCCTGAGACAGATGAAATTTGAACTTGCACATGTTCTTCAGTTTGTTACTGGACGCCCTGCCTTACCTGCCACTGGATTTGACACAAATCTAACTATTGTTTTTGACCATGAAGAGATCCAGAGGAAACTTTCAGCAAACACCTGTTCCTGTACCCTTAACATTCCAGTTTGTGATTTGCTTGCCAGTTATGAGTCTTTTAAGAGTGAGTTCACAGAATGCATCTTCAGTTCACCTGGCTTTGGTAAAGTGTGAATCAAGTAGCAGTTGACTTTTGGTATTTGTAGGTCTGGATGAACATGATTATATGATGTTAAATTTTAACAAACATCATTAATAAGCTTCATGACTTTACCAGCATGCATACATGTACCCAAGCATAGTATTTCTGTCTGTTTTGCAAAAGTCCATGCTGCCTATTTTGCAGAAGAGTTAAGTTTCACTTTCAATGGAACTGTGAATGGGAAAGGTTTCTGGCGCAAATCATTTTTATAGATGTAAAAGATGGTCAAATGTATCTTTAAGATGCCAGTGTTTGTTAGATAACCCCTTGGCTTCTGAGTTGTGTTCCTGTTTGCAAATGCTGTTCTACTTGTTATGCTTTGTTAGGTTAGTATTCTTGTGCATTTGAGACTGGGACTGAAGAGCACAGTTGGCAATGTCTCATAAAAATATGACTTTGGAATTGTATAGTGTATATCCATTTGGCAAGAGTTATTTGGTCATGTGTCAATCAAATTGAATTTTATTTGGTGTCTTAGCAGACAATATGCACAAATGATATTCTACAAACTGGTCATAGAAATCTTTAAACAGTACAAATGTATGTAAAATTTGCCTAGTATCTGCTAAAATGGCAAATGAAACTCACTGTATCTATCCTACTGCACCATAGTTGTTTGGTCTCTTGTCTATGGTGTTGTGAAGTGCCACAGTAAATAAATACAATGTATGTCTGAGTCAGACTTCTTGTGTAGGTGAAGTTATACGTATACTGGTTCTTACTGTTGTGTCAGTGTCTTTGAAAAAGTCAATTTTAAGATGGCATTGCGAACCTGCAAAAAGCTCATGCCAGGAGAGAACAGTTGTGGTTTAGTTCATTTGGAGTACCAGTACAGATCAGACATGCACTATTTTCACTTGTCAACTGACTATATTGTTAAATATGTTCTGGTTATTTGATCTGTTATGGATAACAATGTTCCAATGTTATTTTGTATTGGATGGTTTTTGCATTCCATAGTTCTGACAACATTTTTATCAGGTTAATCAAGAAACATTTTATTGTGATAATTGGAGAACCATATTTTCCTTTTGCTTTCACGATGAGTGGAATAATGTACATGTATTTTGTTTAGGACTCTGACCACTACAGAGTCATTTTTTATCTTTGCTGTAGTTGCTCCAATTGTTGGTTATTGCTTGACAATTCTCTTTGAAAAATGTTTTGAATGCATGTTGTTGTTATTGATGACAATTATAATACCAGATGTCATTACCAATAAAGTGTTGAGATTACATGTTTATCAGGGCTGAGGTGTATTGAATAATGTACAAGTCCAGGAGTTAATTTGGTTGTTTTTTATTCCCTCCTTGNTTTTATCTTTGCTGTAGTTGCTCCAATTGTTGGTTATTGCTTGACAATTCTCTTTGAAAAATGTTTTGAATGCATGTTGTTGTTATTGATGACAATTATAATACCAGATGTCATTACCAATAAAGTGTTGAGATTACATGTTTATCAGGGCTGAGGTGTATTGAATAATGTACAAGTCCAGGAGTTAATTTGGTTGTTTTTTATTCCCTCCTTGAAAATTTTAAGAATCATTCTCTTCATTTGACATTTTCGGGTAATACTGGTTTTATTAAAGAGAAAACTCTATTCATCAAAATGCTGTAAGCAATCTGTAGCATACAGAATTCATGGAGACGAATAAATTACAAATTTATAACAATGGTTTATAGTGACACTGAGAACTTAATAAGCTACTTGTCCTTCACTTTTTCATTAACTGTTATAAGATCACTGGTCTCTGTCAACTCTGGACCAGAATCGAATAGCTCCTACACTGCAACTCTTATTAAATAAGAAAACAGGCTCAAAGCTTCCTTCCAGTTAGAGGGCTTCGAAAAATTAAGAAGGGACAAAACATGATTAAAGTACTCCTGAAAATCGATGTTAAAATCTGTTGCTTTACATTTCAGCCTTGCTTCATCTAGCTTTTCATGGGACACTGGGTGTAAGTAGTTTGAAGCTCCAAAGTTTTCTGGAAGATAATAGAGTTCCTCTGGTTTCCCAGGAATTGTTTCACGCCTTGAACGCCGAATGTAGTGTGTATTCCAGTGAAACTAAACAAAGTCTAGACCATGCTCGATTAATTCTGCAAAACAAAACCATATGCACTCCCCATGGAGCACATCACCAGTCAGAAATATCCCGCGATCCACAAGGTCTTTAAAAAAGTTGATTCACCGTGTTAGACAACTACGGCGGAGATGGGCCCACCAGGCCTCTAATTTTTGATTTCCAGTAGAAGGATCATAATGGTTTGATTTTTCACCAGCTAACTCATCATCACAGCCAGCTCTTAAAAAACACTACCTGCATTTACTACATAATTTTTCTCTGTTCCGCAGTCTGTTCAGAGTAATGAAGGACATCCACCGACCTCCACAACACAATCTAAAAAAACTTTGCAGTTATTTCTAGATCATTATTGGTTCTATCTACCTTAAGCCACATTACCATGCGACTATAGCCATCAACAGCCCCGTGGATGGGAAATCCGAAAGGTTTCAGTTTATCATAACCATCAACATGCCAACAATAACTTGGTCAAGGAGACTCATACTTCCTTCTTTTTACCCTGTGGCACTTCCTCTCTTCCACTCCAACTGGGTCTATCATTCTGATCAGGGATTGTACCTCTTGCCTAGGGACAAACAGCCCATACTTTATACGAAGCATATTCCAAACTCCTCTGTAACCACAAATGCCTCCTGGGCCATCCATCTCGTCTCAGATTAATTTCTCAACTGCAGGCAAATTTATATCCACTTTATTCCTTTTAAGGTTGTATTCACATAACCTTCTTTTCAATGTTGACCTAGACATTGGCATGTCATGGTACTTGTCAAGGAAGAGTAGAATAACCCTGTAACTGAACCCACTATAAAAGTAAGCCTCTATTGCTTCTTTCTCGGTCACATTTTCAGCTGATAATAATAGCCTAACAGAAGGTATAGCAGTGTCTAGCTTGGTTCCACACTGAAAGCAGTACAAATATTCATCTAAAACTTGTTGGCCACAGCTTTGGCAGAACATTTTCAGGGCTCAAAATTAACGGTAACTCGTTAACCAACGGTTAGTAATTTTCAACATTTGGTTACTAAACACGTGTCCAACTAACCCGACATAGTTAGTAAAAATTTTCTTAAATATTTAAATTATGTTATGGAAATAACCTTTTTACAAGTAAATGTTAGTTTTTTGGAACGACTTATGTGTTGTTTTCTTGCATGAGATTGTTTTCTGTCTCAACAATTTGTTCTCGCCATCTTTGCGATCGAATTGAACTTTGGTGATCTGGACACTACAATATCAGATCCGCCATCTTCCCTTCGAAATTACTGTTTGCGAGGTTAACTGGCAGTTTGGCATTGAATTATGCAGAGTTCTTTGGATAGATTTATTAGAAAAAGGCAGGCTCCAGCTGAAAGTAACTGTGGTGAAGAAGAAGAATGTCAAGAAAAGGAACCAAAGACAACAGAAGATATGGAAGACTCGAGCTCCCGGAAGCGTTACGAAGAAAAGAGGAAACAAGAGGGCCGATCATTTCGAAAGGAGTGGAAGAAAACATTTACATGGCTTCAGTTTGACGAGACTAAACAGGAAATGTTCTGTACCGCCTGCCGGAAATTTCCTTCTCTAGCAGATAAAAACAGTTCTTTTTTTACCAGAAGCCAAGCTTTTCACACTGGAAACATAAAAGCACACGCAAGTAATCGTAGACACGAAGCATGTGTTTTCACAAAACAGCAGAGGGAGCAGCAGGAAAGAGGTTCACAAAACGTTGTCCAATCTTTGAAACAAATGTCAAGCGACACTGAAGAAAAAATGAAGAAGCTATTTAATATCTCTTATTTTATTGCAAAACATGAGCGACTGTTCAGTGACTTCGAAGACCTGTGCATTTCGACTACTTTTTAATTTGTTCTAGTGGTTATTGACAAAATGTTCAATATTTGAGATTTCAAGATTGTCAAGATTTTTTAGTTGTGAGCTTGGATACCAAACTTTATAATTTGGTTAGTAAAAAATATGTCTACTAACCCAAAGGGTTAGTGATCCAAAACTTAAATTGGAGCCCTGATTTTTCACGTTAACACCTGGTTAAAACAACGAAAATACAGCCCGTTCAGATAGTCGCCATATTGCATGCAAAAGACCCTCAGCCCAAGTTTGTCGTTCTGCTTTCCAGGCTATCTCGTTCATATTAAGGTAGTGCCCAGTCTTTTGGCTTGGAAACTGATAAGTGTTTCGTGAAATTGATTTGTGTTTCGGGAAATTGATTTGTGTTTGATTTTCAGAGACCGATTAGCGCAAATTTTCAGCTCTGAAGTCCTTTAAACATCTGACAGTTTGTGTGCCTCCCTTTGTACAAGAGTCACCGCAAGAAACGGAAACAGTTTGATGACATCCGTTATAAGCCACAATATACTTGTAACAGATTTGTTTGTTATAATAAACTGTAACCATAATATTTATGTATGTTCATATGACATATGACACTGACATTGGAACAGACAGTTGGGTATTAAGCCATCAAACTGCTCTTTTTTTGGTTCTGGTTTTGGACTCCAAATGATGGACATTAGGCATTTGGAATTGTTACTACAGCATGTTTCGTTGCCACAAAATCCAATACAGTCAGATTTATATAAATATCAAAGGAAATTTACAGTTATCTTTATAACTAAGCCATATTTAAGTATTTCTTGACACTTAAATTCAAACCTGGCACAAATTCCTGTTCCCATATAACTACAAATTATTGGTGCTGTGCCATACATGTATGCAGTTTGGGTTCAGATGCTCATAAATTTGGCATTTTTTTCTTCTTAAGGTTAGTTGATGTTGTATTGGTAGAAACATCCACCATTGACTACAAGAAACACCTTTCAATGCCATGAATGTGAAGCAATTGTTTTAGCAATGAACCTGATAATCTGCATTTCCACAGCAATTTTGAATAACTTTTGCAAAATCGTTATTCTAGAATATCTTTGGGTTTTTCTAGCAACTATGAATTTGATTATTTGTTCAAAACTAATTTTGCCCTAATTATCTTTCCGCTTTTGGATATTCCTGAAACAAAAACACTTCTTGTGCTCTAACATTTTGTATCTGACCTTGTTTGCAGATTAAGGACTTTGTTTACGTTCAGAGTTTCAGTGTTACAGTTTATGTTACAGTTACTGTTGTGCACGAGGAGTTATGCAGTAATTCCAGTGGATATTGTAACAAGAATAATTTTTTTAAACATATAATTTTGATATATTTCTATGAGAATTTCATATTATCATGGTTAACCCTTTGTGGCCCAATGGCCGATATATTGGCCATAACAAGAAACAGAAGATTTTGGCACAGCGGATTCTCCACATTTAGTTCCCAGACCTCTCTAGGCTAAAAAACTCATCCCATATCTTGGATACTTAGATTTTCGTACTTTCAGACGATTTTAGGTTGCTTTAGTGAGTTTTTTTTACTTTCTTTGACAGTCAATTTTCCCGGGAAATTTTAAAGGTCATTTAATCATGGCAAGCGCTAAACGGCGCTACACTGTGCCAGAAATATTGGACTATTTGGACGATAAGTTCGATATCCCCTACAATGGAGTGAATTCTGACATCGAAGGACTTGATGAAGAAGATTTTGACGAAGAAAATGATCTGCTCCCTGAAGTGGCCATCTCTGAAGATGAAGATGACGAAGATGTAGACCTCATCGCTCTTGATATCGAGGAAAACGGTGATCAGGATAGTAGCAGAGGAAGACCAAGCTATGTAAGTCTAAATGACTTTAAATGGAGTAGTGTGAGAAGTGACATTGATATTCCCAGCTTTTTGCAAGCTGTTGGGCCAGCAAATGTTATGCCCAGAGAGTCCTTAGCTGTAGACTTTTCCAGCTGTTTGTTGATAATCGCACGTTGGGAAATATCCTAAGAGAGACAAATCACTATGCCTGTCAGTTATTACAAGCTAGAAACAAAGATGTTCGTAGCTGGAAAGAGATTTCTCTTAAAGAACTGAAGGCATTTTTGGGCCTTTTCTTTGCCATGAGTATTCACAGGCTCCCGAGTTTGCAAGATTACTGGTCATCTGACTGGGTGTTGGGGGTCCCAGAATTTGCAAAAGTAATACCTAGGAACAGGTTCTTGGACATCTGGAACAACCTCCACCTTTGTGACAACAGCAAAATGCCACAGCATGGGGAGCCAAATTTAAACAAGCTTTTCAAGAGGAGAGAATTTCTCAATGATACTTATTACCAAGGCTCTGTCAATTCATCATTTTGTTTCCAGAAGTAAAAAAGCCATTACTGTTTACCAATACTGGTGTTGTTTGTTTGACTAGATGGAAAAGCATTGGGTACCAAACCTTACCTAACCCTAACCCTAAATGACCGCTTAATCCAAATCAGCAAAATGAGAGCGTAATCTTAATCGCTTAATTCACTACTTAAGGATTACATAGAATAAACTGCACTTGAGTAAAATAAAAAGGTGACATATTTGAAAAAATTAAACTAGTATAAAATAATAAAGCCAGTTTACACATTTCAAAAGAAAAATTTAAACCAGAAAACAAAATTGAACTACAACAATACACACTCGGTGATCTTGGTGATTCAAGCAATCTGATTGGTTCGCTGTCTCGCACTATGATAATATATATTCACCGCCTAGCGTGGTGTATATAAAGCAGAACAAAATCACTGTTGTGAACTGGGTGTTTTGCCAAAGTTTCATTGTAAGAACTTTCTGAAAATACAAGAATATCCAAGTGTTCATGACTTTAAAGGTAAGAAATAACTTCATGGTGTTTAAACAGCCTGGTTTATTGTGAAGTGGTTTACTGTAGCTGACTTTATGTACCCTTGAAACTGTGTTTACCACTACAGAGGAAAACGAGGCCGCTTTGTCAATGTTTTGTGATTTCGGGATTTTCTTGCAAGACCAATTTTGCCTATAAATAGAAGTTAATTTACGGACAAAAAAAGAAGGCAAATATCTTTGAAAACTTCCACTCAACTGTCCAGGCAGTAAAAGTAGTGCAGGGCTCCTTGAACCAACAGAGCTTGCATTTTAGTGAAGCTAATAGAGGGAAGCAGTGCACCAGCAACAGCCTAACTTTCCTTCTACATCATGTCACCGTTCCTGAAGCAAAGATTCCTAAAGAAATGATTGGTGCAGTTTTGAAAGCAAGAGATAAATTGCACACAGTGTTAACAAGTGCCTTATTGAGTCCTGGAGACCAGTTGTCCCTAGAGGAGGTACAAACTGCCATTCAAAAAATTGGAGAGCACAAGCAAATCATATTTCCCCAAGCCATAATTACTGGTGATATCTTCTCCCATAAAACCATTTTTCCCTTCATGACCCTGGAAGAAGGAAACTGCTACTCAGACAAATACTGGAGCCTTACTGAGGATCCTTGAGTTCACTGTGGCTGTCAAAAAACTTACCAATGGCAGTTTTGTATTTTTTTATCCACATGCAAGGAACTGTCACGGCTTTGTAGATGGCACTGGAAGAGCAATAGCCACGCTGTTTTCAACTCTAGATGCCATGGTTGAATATCTAAGAACATTCGTAAGACAAAAGGGTTGTGAGAAGAGGGCACCACTCTTGGAAGACAACATGTTGTTATGTGAGCGTGCATTTGAGGTGCTAGCAATCTATGCTGATTGGGGAGTGGACAGTATTACTCTCAACGCTCCTTAAAGGAGCATGCAAAACAAGGTAAGTAATAATGATTTTTAGCTTTCCCTTGGGAAGGAAAACAGCTGTCAGCTAACATGACAAACACAAGTGAACAATCCTCATAATGCACATTTAAGGACTGTGTACTAGTAGACAGATACTATACATAATAGAGATCAGAAGAGGCAATGCAAACATTACAAGCAAACACTATTTTATAAACCCGTTCTTGACATTTCTTTTTTTCACCTTTTTCTTATTTGCAGATTATCAATTTTTATATGGAGCTGGTAAATCAAAGAGTAAAAGAGGTAATAACAGGAGGATTTTTCAGTCAGTTATAGATACATCTTTCAAACAAATCACCACATTTGAAGACACTTTAACATGTTGCTCAGGTGCAAAGTGGTTAAAATAAANTTATCAATTTTTATATGGAGCTGGTAAATCAAAGAGTAAAAGAGGTAATAACAGGAGGATTTTTCAGTCAGTTATAGATACATCTTTCAAACAAATCACCACATTTGAAGACACTTTAACATGTTGCTCAGGTGCAAAGTGGTTAAAATAAATGCATGACAAACTGACCTATGGCATGCAATATGCTTTATTGAATTCCTGAGTTTCACCCAAATTTACCATACATAAACAGCATCAACACTGTATAAATGTAAGACTGCATAGCTTCTTTCTTTCCCTCCATGTAAACAACTCAGACTGATCTTCTATAAAACTGTTATTGACACAAATTAACAGATGAATCCCATTTCTCTTTGTAGTCTTCAGACTCCCCAAAAGTCCATTGCTTCAGTTCGTTTTTCTATGAAACATTATCTACACATGGAGCAAAGTGGATGGCTAACTGGACCAAAAAGGTTTGCCACTAATAAATAATTTTACTAGTGCTCTTTATATATAATTACAAAGGCTCCATGGGGAGGGGAACCAAAAGAGATAACCATGACTTTTTTTTTATCTTATATCTTGGCAGATCAATATATACTTGATTATGACATGGTTTTCATACCAGTGCATCTCCCTGGACATTGGGCACTTGGGGGGTATGTTGACCATCAGCTCAGTTACTGTTATATGGAAACCGGCCCTGTATTATTTTAGTCACATTATTGTTTTTAATAACTCTGTACTGACCACATACATTGTTACTGAACAGTAGTACTGTCAACACTTTTGCAGAAAAATAAAAAGTTGAAAATATGCATACTCAAAAGACTCTCTTCTGGCTTTGAAAATAATTCATTTTTAAAAATTTACTACCCTAGGTTGTCGATGTTAATCGCAAAACTATATCATACTGGGATGGGTTACAAGGTGTTTCTTCCATCTTCTACAAGAACATCAGGTAATATATTTCACAGTTTGTGAATGTTTATTTTAAATTTGCCATCAAACTATAAAAATAATAAAAGAAAGCTAAAAATTCCCCTCAGTATTGATTAGCATTATTATTTAAGAATAACATAATACGTTAATCAGTTTAAGGTGCTTTCTGAAGGATCAGAGTGCCAGAAGAGGAAGACCTTTTTCTGACCACCACTGGATAGATGAGGTCCCCAAGGTAAGCATTGATCGATAATAGTACAAAAAAAAAACAGCCTTACAATATTTTAAAATTATCTTTTAATTTGTTTTATTTCAATATTTACATTAAAGGAAATTCCCTTTCAAGAAAACAACTACGACTGTGGCATGTTTGTCTGCATGGTAAGTATATTTTGCACAGTATTCCCAAAATTTGAGATAGCAATGACTATAATAAGGTAATCATAATGATTATATTATTATAATTTACATTGTTAGACAAAGTATAGCATTTTTAAACTTTCAGTATTCTGAACATCACTCATGTTCTTAAAGCAATGAATTGTAAACGGAATCATTAACATTGCTAAATGACATTTAGTTTGCAGAGAACTTGAGCAGGGGGAAAAATCCCACTTTCCATCAGGTACTGTACAGATCCTAGCTGTTAACAGACACCTCCTATACATGCACCTCTTACTAACAAACACTGATCTGGGTTCCCAGCAATTTCTATGTTAAAAATCTGCATTTCCAAACTATTGTAAGTATAAGTCATCTTTTTTTTTGTTGGTAACAAACTTCTATTCAGAGGTCAATTCAGAGCTAAAAATAATGCTTTGCAATATAGTTGCCTACCTGATAGATCATAGCTAGCGAATACTCTCTTCTCTCCAGCCGCAGGGGGCACTTCAGCTGAACAAATGCCTTTCACAAGCACTATAGTTCCAGAGTAATTTTGTCAACACTTTGATATTGAACAAGAGAACAAATTTAACAGGGAGAAAGGAGGATTCAGAGTGCACCAAAAGTCAATCCACCAGTCAAATCACACAGTCAGTAATGAACTTGCATAGAAAACTGAAGGGAAATTTATTGATGATCAAACAATGATACACAATCTTACTGTTGAATAGATACTCTTCCCTGTTTGTTTTTGCTTCATGAAATTAAATGGCATCTCCTCAACTTGATTGACTGACAGAGCATTTTCTTTCTAGAATGACATGCCTTTGCTACGAAAGAAGCTTAAGGAGCAGTTACAACAGAAGAGGCTTTAATGTGCACTATTCAAGCAAGACCTCAAAGAAGTCAGGAGTGGGGACTATTTACAGAGAGGGAAGGACTAATTAAATGCACATGGGGAGATACCTTGTTGAAATTCTCTGGACCCTCCCCTTTGAGGGGTACTTAAGTTGAATAAAAAATTGATTTCAGCATTCATTCATTTTGATGTACTGTTAAAGACGTATTACATTTTGACCATATTTGTCTGACGGTAAGCTGTTATTTTGTCATCTACCGACATCTTCCCTACCAGTGCCGCGCTTTGCAATAACAACACAACCTAAAGTCAAATTATAACTAACGTTAACGTTTTCCCTCCAATGGACCTCACAGGAAACACAGGCTTTTTTAAGCAAGTTCAAAAGGTTGCATCTTTGATTGTAATTGGTTGATTTGGATCCATGTTTTTTATTTTGATTATGGTTGACAAATAATTTTCAAAAAATGTCTTCTTATTTTCCTGTAATCTGAATGGTCAACTTTGTCTCGGTGGCCCTGCTTATAGTAGTCGCACTGTAGAGAATCTTGCAGAAATCCATTGACCAGATGGGCAACCTTTGCCCAAGAAATAACTTGTACATATCACTTAGATGAAGACTTCATGGTATCAATGGCTTTGAACCAAAGCGC